ATACCGACATATTAATTGCAAATTTATAATAAAAGATGGAAATGTATGTGAAAATTGCCAAAAAGTTTATAAAACAATGCAACAAATTCGTAGAAGGTATTTAGGTGGTGTAAATTCTGTGAAAAATGTGCATGTCTCAAAGAAAATTCTTATAGAAAAAATTGAACGTCAAAAAAAACTTATTAAGTCACAAAATGTAACTATTATAAAAATAAGAAATTGTTTACAAAAGAAAATAGAGAAAGAAGAGGGAGAAATATCAAACAAAATGGCAAATATAGCCCATACTGTTATTAATGATATCACAAACAAAAAGATAGATATTTCAAATCTTCATCCTATTTTTCAGGAACTTATTCGTATTCAGAGTGAAAAGCCAAACGGAACAAGATACCATCCAATGTAAGATTTTAATTATTGCATTATTTTCATTATTTTATTAAAAAATTTCGTATATTTAATTTTCTTAATATAGGTTTTTACATTGGGCAATATCAGTATATAGCAGATCTGAAAAAGCGGCTTATGATGCAATGAAAACAATAATGCGTCTACCATCCATTTCTACACTTAAAAGCTATATAAATGAAAGTGAAAAATGTTCAGGATGGCAAGATGAGACTGGATTTCAAATATTAGAAAGTTTAACAGCAAATAATATTTGGGGATATGGGCGAGTTGGATACTTTTCACATGATTCTTTTAAAATAATAAACAAATTAATTAATTTTGTATGCATTTCAAAGTTAAATAAGAACAATTTTACCTTTTTGAATTTTAAAAGGTCTTCTTTGGAGTCAACGTGAAAACTGTTATGTTGGATATTTAGATTTTGAGAATGAAATGCAAAACTATCAATCATTTGCCTTACAATGTCAAAATGAGATTCATACAACATTTGATAGAAATAATTCACTACCTAATTCTACAGCTGAAAAGCAAGAACAAAGTCTTGCAACGCAAATTCATCAAGTTGTTTGGCATTCAGCAACACATAACTTTGCTTTTCCAGTTGCTTATTATGGTATTAATATAATTACAGCACATAACCTGAATGCTTTATTATTTAATCTTGCATCTAGATTAGAATGTATTGGCATACATACATATGGTTCAATTTGTGATGGTGCAGGAGAAAATAGAACTCATATAAAAAGTTTTGACTGGTATGCATCAACCTGGTCTTCTGGAGATGTTGTGGAAGTTAATTTTAATAAAGATAAAAAATCATTTCATACAGCAGAAATTATAGATAGTAATTCTGAAAGAACAAAATTTACTGTTTGTTTATATAATTGTAATAAATCTGATAAAATTACAATTGAACGAACCTATATACGTCCTCCAATGCCTTTAAAATTGGAATGGAATGTTAATGAATTATGTGAATTTAGAAGTCCAAATGATAATCAATGGTATTTAGGAAAAATAACCAATTTTGATTCAATTGAATCAACGTTATCTGTTGAAATTATTAATGCAAAAGGGGGTCATAAAGATTGGAAAGTTTTTAATTATCATATTGATAAATTTCTTCGACCTGTTTATGATAATCAAAAATTTTTAGCAAACCATAAAACCATTAATCCTATTACAGGAGAAGAATGGTTTTTTATTAGTGATCCAACACATGTATTTAAAAAACTCAGAAATAATTTAGCAAAAAGCCATATTGACGAAAAAAATTCCAGAGAAATCATGTATAATGGAAAGGAAATTAGCTGGAAGCATATAAAAGGTGTGTATGAACATACACAACGACATGCAACAGCAAAAGCCACAAAACTTACAAAGAGGCATATATGGCTTACATCATGGAGTAAAATGCGTGTTGATCTTGTGGAACATACATTATCAAAGGAAGTTGAATGTGCATTAGCGTCTATTAAAGAACTTAAAGATATATCAGAAGGAACAAGGGTAAGATTTTATTAATAATATATATTATGTTATAATTTAATAATTTAAATTAAACATTTAATTTTTTTAAAGGAATTCATTAAATATGCACGAAAATATCGTGAAATAATGCATAGTAAGATTGGTTTTCGCTCTATAGAAGATCCTCGTATTAAAACCTTAAAAGAAATTCGTAATTGGTTTGTAAATGGTGATAAACAAAAAGTAGGACCTATAGAATGGATTTCACCACAATGCCAATTTGACTTAATTTTATCTATTAATGGGTTTCTTGAAATGTTAGCCTTTATTTTAAAGAAATACCCAGGATCAATGATTCAACCACGACGCATTTCACAAGATATGCTTGAAGGTCTTTTTGGCACTATTCGTGAACTTGGAGGAGACTCTTCAACACAAACACTTAAATCTTATGGACATGCTTTAAATAAATACCAAGTTACGGCATTAGTTTCATCTGAAATAAAAAGTGTTAATTATGGAATAGCTAATTCTACAGGAACTGGTATTACTTCTTTAACAAGAAGGTATATAGTATTATTTAAAGTTTTAATAATAAATGAAACATATTAATTAATTATTTTAATTTATTAGAGATTATCGAAAGGATAAAAAATACCATGAAGAAAATAAAGAAAATATTAATGTTTATCAAAAATATAATACCCGTTTATCTCAATTATCAACTTTTTCTCGTGGTATTTTTGAAAACCTTCTTGATGATAATTTAATTATGGGAAGATTTAAATCTTTATCAAAATCAGTTAACAATAATGTTAACTATGAAAATATTAGAGTTTATGATCTTCAAACTGAGCGATATAATCTTATAGAAGTTTTGCTTTATTTAGATTCTATTGATAAATTATTACAGTCATGGCAAAATATTATTAAAAATATAGCTCACGAAGCTATTCCAAAAAAGATTGGTGTTCAGTGGTTGGCTACTTGGAGTTCTCATTTTGAACTTTACTTGAATAATTATCAATGTTCTGGCATCTGGTATCAGGAATTTCTAGCAGTTACCAAGTTACATCCTTCTTCAACCCAAAGACTCGTTGCATATTTACTTCTACAAAAAGTAATTGAACATACGTTTAAAAAAAAAATAATTGAGAAAGATCAAACTGCAGATTGTAATCTAGTACCTGAAAATATTATTGTTTTAGAACCAGCTGAAGCATCAAAATTCTCCTATATTGTTGGATGGGTTGTTTATAAATTAACTAAAAGTGACAATATAACAAAATCGCACCCACAATTCAAAGCCATTTGCGCTCACCTCAAAGTTCTAAATTCGGAACAAGTGGTCTATGAAGAGGATGTTAGATCTCAAATAACAAATGTAATTCCTGGCCAAGAGTTTCTAGAATTCATGTATAAGATGGAATCATTAATTCTTATATTATTTGAGAAACATAAGGAATTTGGACCACATATTCTTCAATATATACACAATAGTTTACTTGATAATTTGCCACTGTTACAATCTTTTAACATTCTTCTTGATCTTGCTAGCCAGCAGATTTTAACTTGTGAAAGTGTAACAACTGAAAATTACAAGTTAAAAGATGAAGTTAGGAATTTTCTTTATGAGCGTATTATTTCCATATATATGAGAAGTAGACAAAAATCATGGCGAAGGTTTAATAATCTTATTCCTGAAAAAGGGACTACAAGCCTTCGTGAGAATTTAAAATCTTTCTACAAAGATACTCAAAACATCTCAAAAAATGAAAATAAACCTCCCTTAATGAAAAAAGAGAGTATTCCACAGAATCCGTTGCTTGGCTTAGAGCAGCTTCGAATTTGGGCAAAACTAGATAATGCTGAAGAAGTATTTTTAAAGATATTTCAAGTAGCAGAGTTGCAATGGTTACTCTGGGCGTTTGGAGATAATGTTAAAAATAAAAGAAAAAAGACGTTAATATCTTTGATTTTTGATCACCTGAAAAAAGGAACTCAATTCTGTGAAGAGGCAATATCAAAAGGACGAATATTTGCATTGTAGACTACTGTAGAATAGCACAAAAGATATGTAAAAAATAAAATTTTAAATCAAAATGTATATAATAAAGCATTTTTTTTGAAATTCGGATTAAGTTTCATTTTTTAGCAATTTTTTGTGAGAAAAAAGTGACCTGTAGAAAGCAGTAATTGTCTAATTTGAATAAAACCACTTCACATATGTAAAACAAGTATAAAGGATCTTAACTTTTAAGATCGGTTGCTTTTCTATGTATGCGTGTCGAAAAAATTAAAAAATTTTAAGATTTTCGCACTATTTAATATGTGATTTCGATTGTGTAACCAATTTTATTAAGACTTCAGTTCGGTCAATTATTGATCAGTCTGTGTAACCATGAGTTGGCCCCCCCGTTATTTATCTATCCCCTAGTACATACTAGTCTAAACGTTACGGTTACACATGTATTTTTTTAGTTATATAGATAGATATATAGAGATTTATTTAATATTCATGCACTAAAAAATGTCATATTTATTGTAAGGATACAAAAATTAACCTTATCAGTTATATATTTTTTTTAAAAAAAAATAATCATCAAAAAATTATATTTACAAAACGTGTACAAAGGCTGGGTTAAACCCATTTTCAAAAAAAGGGATTTTAACGTTGTGATCAATTAACATTTCTGTTTATTAGCTAATAGAAATATTCACTTAACATCACTTTCATTAATTCTCTTTTTTCATTGGAAATAATGAACTTACATTTTATGATATTCTATTTACTACTTATTTGCTTTATAATTACATAGTAATCAGGGAATCCCCTTTTTAATCAGCAAAGGTTACTCACAAAGACATATCCTAATAAACAGAGTTGAAACAAGTTTTTAAGAAAAGTTTATTTCTTTGAATTGATCGTCAACAAAATTTTCTAATTTCAGATTGGTAGTACAGGTTTACAAAATAATAGGATTGACGGAAAAATTAAGCCGCGAAATTTTCTAAATTGAGCAATTGCTTGAAATTTATGCATGATGGCGATTTCAATATGCATAATTATACAACTATTTCTATATAGAATATCCTTGATTCTTTAAAAGAAAATTCCGTAGAATTTCACTTTGTTATTGTATCTTCATAAAATATAATATTGCTTTATAATTTTTACATTTAACTTTTATAATCTATTTTCTTGAAATACAACATCATGAACACAGATAGTAATTCATTTGATCCTACTCCAAAATTAAAATCTAGTCCTGTACCTGTTTTATTTATTCCTTTTAAAAATAATGAGGAAAACTGTAATTATTGTGGAATTGAATACTCCAAGTCACTTGAGCGTTACCAAAAATATTGCAAATATTGTTTATTTTGGTATATTCAATATATAACGAGCAATAATACATACTTGGATGTACGTATAATGACAAACAATTCTCAGTGTATTAAACATAAAACAACCAGAAATAATTTTTATACCGCAAACATTCAAGAATGGTGTGAATATTGTTCCGAGATTTTATATTTTACACAAGTAGTCATAGAAAATTCAAATTGTAGGCACCATGATTTTAGTAAATACTGCGTAATTTGTCGTTACGAGAAGCGGTTATCAGGTTATCAGATTTCTTCTGGATGGGTAGAATCAACTTTGACTAAAAAGTCCATTCCGATTCTATATTTACCATGGTGGGATAGTCTTAACCAATGTGTAGTTTGTGATAAAGAACTTAAATATATACACCAAGAGTCAAAATCTTATTGTCAAAAATGGTGTTCATATTGCTTTATAATTTATACTGGATGTAGGCATTGTTTAACAACAAATATTATTTTTGGAATTGCAGATCAATCTCAATGTAAGAAATGCTCAAGAATTTCATTCATTAGAATTGATATTACAGATATTGAAAGTGGAAATTTCATTATAGAAGAATTTCTTGCTTCTACAAGAATCAACAATAAGCAACTCCATTCTATTGTTAATTATGAGACGATTTTCGATACATCAAATCCATTTTATACTTATGAGTTTATTAATAATAAACTTCGTTTAAGTCTACATGAAAAAGTAATAAAGTGGATTCCATATTCTCAAATTAAGAATTTAAAGAAAATAGCGGAAGGAGGATTCAGTATTATTTATAAAGCAACTTGGTTGGGAACTGATGTTGCTGTAAAAAAATTACATGATTCACAAAATATCAGTAAATACTTTTTAAATGAGGTAATATTTATATTTTATATACTTGCGATGGGTTTTTTTATTAATTAACTCATTGTATTTTAGTTAAGATCACTTTATCAATGTGATGATGACAATGATTGGGTTATTGGCTATTATGGCATTACACAAGATCCTATAGCAAAAGAATACATGTTAATATTGGATTATGCAGAAGGTGGAAATTTACATGATTATTTGCAAAAGAACTTTATAAATATTAGATGGGTTGACAAATTTTTGATTTTGCAAGGAGTTTCATTAGGGTACATTATTTTAATACATTAATTATTACTTATAGTTACATTAAATTTATTAACTACTAAGTCTTTTATTTTAGACTCGAAAGAATTCATAATAATAATGTTATACATCGAGATCTTCATAGTGGAAATATGCTATTGTCAAATTTTTGGAAAGTTGGAGACTTAGGATTATCACAGCCTGCAAATAATACATTATCAAATAATGAAATATATGGAGTAATACCTTATATCGCACCAGAAATATTTAAGGGTGCTGCATTTTCAAAAGAATCTGATGTATATAGTTTGGGCATGATTATGTGGGAACTTACAACAGGTTGTAAGCCTTTTGCTAATGTTGAACATGATCATAATCTTATCTTTAAAATTCTTGATGGAGAACGACCTAAAATTACAGAAGATACTCCTAAATTTTATGCTAATTTAATGAAAAAATGTTGGGATTCTAATCCTTCAAAAAGACCAACTATTGTTGAAATGTATAATTATATTTCCAGTTGGAGTAATACGCGTGGTACCATAGAATATAGACAGGCAGAAAACAAAAGATTGGAATTGATACGATCAAAGAAACTTGGGCCTGAATTTAGTGAAAAGTTTCATCCAAAAGCAATTTTTACAAGTAGAGCATTAAGTTCTTTGATTTCTAAAGCTTCAACTATAAACTCTTCTTCAATGATCTCATTTAATGACAAACAAGGTATGTTATATGTTATGTTATTAAGTAATAATTAGCCATTAGTGAAAATTTGATTAGACGATATGATAATAATAATTGAATTTACTTCTTTAAATTTATATTAACTTAGATGGCTATTATTATTTTTTAGAATATATTACCAGAGAATATGAAATTGATATAAATAATAATCAAAGGTAATAATTAATATAATGTATATAGCTTCAATTAAATAATAACATCATACATTTTTTAGTTCATCCACACAAAATACAAATTCAGCTACTCAAAGCTTAACTGTACCAATAAATTCTTCAAGAAAGCGTAATTTTGAAAGATTGGAGAATGAATCGAATGAAACTCAAAAAAATAGTAAGTAAACATTTCTATTTACGCATATAATAAATAATATTTATAGGTTAACACGTCAACAATTCAATATATATATATATATTTTTTAACTAAAATAGGAAAATATATTAAAGTTGATAATTTAGAAGATGAATATTGTTGAATATGATTGAGCTTATTAAATTTATATTTATCATGAAAAATTTATCACTAGAAGCTAACATCTGTTTATATAAAATTAGTTATTAAGTTTTTGTTGTAATTATTTTTTAGTATTAAGGTGCAATATTAAAAATTTATAAGTGTATGTATTATCGGTTATTCAATATTTTGCAATGAAGGAAAGGCACTACATGTAATATGATACAAAAGCACTAATCTCGTAAAGAAATAATCACGTTGTAGAATTATCACGTGACCTGTTGACTTGGAACATTATTTTAAGTATTTATTGGGCGAGTGGTTCTAGTCAAGTATATTATATAGAATTTATATGAACAATATGCCTTTTCTATTTTCTTTTTCATGTATTTGACAATTCCAACTACCTTCTAAAGTAAAAATAAAAAATAAAATAAAAAATTTTATTTATGACGATTGTGTAGTGTGAATTTGTACCATAAAATATTAAAGTTATTTTTTTTTTTTTAAGTATAGAAGTTTTGAACTCGTAAATGAGTATATTATTTATGTAAAAGAATAATGTATTTATTGAGTGATATTGCATAAATCGAAGAAGATTGATTTTTACTGTGAATTTATTTGAAAGTATCCAAAAAGAACAGTTGTTGGATTAACAACGTATTTAGGTTTATATCTCTTAAATACTGAAATACATTTTTTGATTATTATTTAAACGTTCAGTTTTGAATCTCAATTTTTTCATGAATAGTCATTATTATTATTAGAACATACAAAAATATAATATTTAACGACAAAATCTTTTTTCAGTCTTTACAAAAAGTCAAGAGAATGATCAAGCGTCCATTTAAGATAAAAACTATTTTGAAACTTAATGAACAACACGAAATATAATTTATTTATTATTAAAAATAGAGGATTCTGATGTCATATTTGTCATATTTTAAATTTAATTTTTATTTACATTTAAATAAATTTCTTTCTAGATATCCTTGTATAATATACAGTAACACAATTATAACTTTAGTTATCTGTTATTATGTTTTACTAATATAATCTTTGAAAAGGAATTTGGTTTTTACAACTTTTCCTTTATCTCATCCAAAAATATTTTAATTTTATTATTAAAATTGCTCTTAATTTTTTTTTTAGTTCAGTAATAGCTGCAACCTGTTGCGTTGCAACAATGAGTTTAAAACTTTAAATCGATATAACAATAAAACTTTTGCTTTATATTCAGATAAATTATGTTTTTTATTTTAAGTAAAAATATATTTATTTTATTATATCACCGATCCAAACATAAGGGTTGAAAGAACAAAAAAAATAAATAAATAAACTGACAAATTAGTAAAATAATAAAAAAATTATTAAAAATAAAATCGTGCATACCGTAGGACCGCAGCGTCATCCTCACTGATCCAGGTCTAAGCCTAAAAGATGAAATAAATAATAATATAATATATAAGTTGATTAAAAAAGTATGTATAAAAATAAATAAAAATCACATAAAAAAATATATTAGTATAGATTATTACAAAGAGAGAAAAACTGGAACGAAAATATTAAAAATTCATTTTTTTAAAAAAAAAGAATGGAAATAAAATTATTAAAATCTTGGTTTTAAAAAAAAAAACTGAAAAAACGAACCGGTCTAAAAAGACCAAAAAAAATTATTATTATTAAAAAAAAAAAGATCCGGACTAAAAAGAGACCGAAAAAAGATTTTAAATCAACATTCGGATACGAAAATGAAACATACAAATTAAGCTTTTTTTCATTAAAAAATATCCAATTAAAATTTCATTAACCGGAATTGTATTAGCGATTAAAATTTCCCATACATCCCATCAGATTATTTAAATCATAGTAATAATTATCAGTTATCCTCATAAGTTCATGCAGATTTTACATAATTGTTATTTAGGTCGGTTATCTCATATTACTATGTATTAGCATAATAATAAAATTATTGGATAGTAACGGGAATTTATTATAAAAATTGCATGATCGGTCCCGTCAAACCGATAATATTATTATTGGATGATTTAAACTATATAATAGTCTAATGCGACGTGACGCTATTAGACTATTATATAGTACACAATTCAAATGATTTATACAATCTCTAAATTTTTTTAGTTATATAGATTATATATTTTTTTCATCATTTTATTATTATTGATTAATTAATAATAGGATTATGATGTTGATTAATTATTTTCATTTAATTATTTTAGGTTTGAAACATATCCACCTTTGCTCACCATGAATGATTTGCGTTAATCTTATAAAAGTTTAACTGTTTAAATTGTCCGACAATACGAGTCACGTCGCGCATATAGCCGATGGAACTTTAGGACCAGGTGTAACAACTGTAACATGTTAACATAATAATGATCATATGATTATACCGCTTCAGACGCTCAGTTATCCAATTAGACCAAAGTCATAAGGAGGTTCGTACTTAGTTTCACTTTTTTCCTACAAACAAATCAGTACGAATAATATGTTGTAAAAGGTCAACGTTGATCGGACAGATGATGAATTTAGTATGTAAACAAAATATAAACAAAAATAAAATTAATAAAACTATTATATTTCAACAGTAATTACTTATAGTGAAATTATCAAATTTATAAATGTATTTATCTAACAAAAATGATTTTATACTTGTCAGCACTGAATTTGTGCATATAAATAAAAAAATAAATAAATATTGATTTCTTTTTTATTATTAAATTAACAAATAAAACTATAAAAATGCAATCATATTATACATATGTTCATCGAAAGAGTAAGAATGTTATTCAACTAGGATAAAATGTTATACAATTATTTACAATGAACCTGGCATCGGAATTTTTTTACTAATAATATAACATTTTAACAAATAAAGATATTATAATAATATAACTAATAATATAAATGACTAACAATTAACTAATCAACTAATATGTATGTAATAAATAGTATTTTAAAAAACCAGAAGAATAAATAAAAAAAAATTTTAAAGTATGCGATTTTATTGACCTCCAATTAGTTTACATTCAATTAAATGATTATGAATCTATAGATCGTGGATTAGGCTACAATGTTACATTAGAAAATTCTATTGAAGGATCAAATATTCCTTTTATCATAAATCTTTTATTAAAATTTTATAAACAAGATTTTAAAATTACGAAAATTACTTAAATTAACAACTAAAAGGAAAACTAGAAAATCATCATTTTATATAATAGAAAAACAAATTAAAGAAATGAAATTCCATTAAATTCTAATAGTGAAGTAAATACTCAAGTTAAAATAGAATTATCTGAATGGAATAAAAATCAAAATTATTGTTGTGACTATAAATGACAGAAGACATGTTGATGTTAATCATAAAATTAAAATTAAAATTCATCGTGAAGGGATTTTTACTAGTATAAATATTAAATTAGACATAGTTTTTTCTGACTAGATACGCATTATATATATACTGTTATTACTATGTGCGCCTGACGTGACTAGTAACATGTATAGATTTACGATATGTCACTGTCGCGTTTTAAAATGTTTAAATTATATAATTTATTTGAATTCATAATTTATATTTGATAATTATACATAATATTATATTTGAATAAATATTAAATATAGTATATATAATGACCAATTATTTGTTAATTTTTTTTCATTATAATTATAATTCGTATTATAATTATGATTATAGTCGTTATAATTTTGATCATCGTTATAAGACGTTACTGTAATCGTTATTATTATAGTAATCATTATCGTTATATATAATTACGATTTTCCAAACAAAATATTTTTAATTTCAATTTCTTCGACTTTGACACGATTGAACCTCTATAAACATGATTGTAAACCCATTTTTAAATGAATTATTACAACTCATTTTTAATAACCTTGATGATGATATTGGTTCTTTATTTTCATTATTATTTGTAAATAAAAATTGGTGTGAAAATGCCGTCCCCATCTTGTGGAGAAGACCATTGAGTTATGATCGTCATAATTTTGAAGAAACAACGAAAATCAAAAAAATAATTCCAATACTTCTTTCACAAATCTCATTACAAGAAAGAATCGATTTAGAACTTAAAGATATTCCAACTAAAACTATGTTTGATTATGTATCGTTTATTAAACAATTTGACATATCCTTATTAGATTGGTTAGTTTGTGAGAAATATACCATGGCAATAAGCAAAACTATTTTTATGAAAACAAAAAGATTAGATGAATTAACATTTTTATATGAAGCATATGGAGATGATCTTTATGAAAGTATTTTTACATTACCAAAATCACAAATGTTACTTAATCATATCACAAAGTTGAAGTTTAATTCTACTGGAAAATATTCACTTTTTCCTAATTTATCAATTTATGTTAAAAATATCAAATATCTTTCCATTAATTTTTCCTGCAGTAGTAATAATCATAAAAATGTTGTGAAATTTTTTGAGGATCTTATTGAATTTATTTCTGTTCAAAATAATTTGGAATATTTTATCATAAATATTAGATCTAATCTTTTTAGTATTATGCATATGGAAAAATGGAGAGGACTTTTCTTTAAACTTTCTGAATCTCATTCTATAAAGTATATAATGATTAAAGGTTGTATTGATGGAGAACAAACTGATTTGAATTTTTTATCTAATTGTTCAAATCTTGAAGAATTACATTTAGATTCTATGATTATTGATTATGATAAATTGGTATGCTTAGAAAATATTTATCTACCAAAATTATTTTCTTTCTCATTATTAGGTTGTTATTTCATTTCTCCGAAATATAATTATGTTTATAAAACAAATTTATGGCTAACTTATATTACAGCATTTTTAATGAATCATAGTAATACTTTGAAGGAATTAAAAATAATTTTAATGCTCGAAACTGTCAAACGAAATTATTTGAAATCAATCCTTGCCGATTTATCATTATATTGTCAAAATCTTACATTGATTGGATTAAACTTGGATCATATTTTTGGTTATTATGTAGAATATAGAGAGAAAGTTGATAAAGTTGATGAAATATTTTTTAATTTACCTAAAGAATTATTATTGATTTTTATAAGATCACTTCCTAAAACTTTAAAATCTCTTTCATTTGAAGGAGTAATTGAACTTGATTATTTAGAAGAAATTATAAAAAATTATATTGATAATTTAATTAATTTAGATTTCTATTATTATACATGTGTTAAAGTATTAGAAAGAGATATTGATGAAATGACAAAAAATAGAAAATTAAAACTTAGTTATGATAAAAAAAGAATTAGTATTAATTGGACATCAATATATAGATATTTTTTAGATTTTAATTACCCTTGGTTAGCTAGCCATTCAATGGACGGCAAAGTATTTAACTCATAATAGTGTTTCCAAAATACTTAATTGCCGATTCGTCTACTGCGTTACTAATAAAACTCGAGGATAATAGCATTAATAAAAAAAAAAGCGTTATTTCCACCCATTTCACAAACAGAAGTATCATAAACTTTCACCTGGTTCTAATAATAAAAATATTTCAAAGAAGTCTTTAAAAACAACTTTGAAAGCTAAAACTTATATGTTTCTAATGTAAATAATGCAATATAACAAAATAAAATATTGAAATTACCTATATTTTAAGGTGTAAATCTGACGCGCGTACTGTACATAGTAAACTCATTATTTTGCATATGAACGTATAATTTTTTTTTTGCAAATTCTTTTTTTTTCAAGTATTTTTTCAGTATATCATATGACTTTTATTTATAGTTAATATATCGTCTATGAAAATATCCTTTTTTTTGAAGATTGTGTTCTAGCACAAAATCGGCAAATTTAACCCCGAATTTTATTAGTAACGCAGTGCTGTTCTTAGACGAATCGGCAATTAATAAATATAATTACAATTCTTTATAACATTCTTTATTAATATTAAATTCATAATTTAACAATTTCACACCAGAAAATTTGTTTGAATCATAAAAATTGAGTATTTAATGTTGTGCTGATGAATATCATGCGAAACACTTGTGACCACAAATTTTCATAATGCGCATAAATAAATATATTATTTTCCGCTTCGCTCTCGGACGATTAAAATAGCGAAGTTGACGCTCCCGGTTTGGCGTCAGCATCATTTAGCATAACAGCTTAACAGAAAAAAAATATAAAAATTAATTTAACATTTATTATTTTAGTTTTAGATAATTATTACAGTTTAAATGACCTATGTTTAATAAAAGTCAAAATTAACTTTTGCATACAATATACACATTTGTCCCATTTGAATTTAATCAAAGGAAAATCTTAATAAATAAATAATCTTTGGACCATGTTATTAATGCATTTAGCGAAATTAAAGATTGAATAATCATTAGATGAGAGATTAAATAAAAATTTTATTTTAATTTTTATAACAAATCGTTACTATTTGTTGCCAAGTCTTTTAAAAAACTTGTTGTCACCTGATCACCAACGTTGGGTGCAGCAACATTGATCAGGGAGGGGAAAGGGAAGGGAAAGCGAGAGAGGGAAGGGAAAGAGCGAGAGAATAAAAGAAAGGGAAACTAGAAAGAGCGAGGGAATAGGAAAAGGGTTAGGAAAAGAAGGAAAACGAGAGGGAATACGCAAAATTACACACATACAAACACTACCCACCCATACACAACCCATACTCCCAACCTATAAACCGAAGAGAAGACCTAATAAAGAGAGAGTGAAAAAAAATCGAAGATTTAATAATTATTGAATCGAAAAAAAATTAAGGTATTGGGACAATAATATATTATTTATGTTGATATACTCGCTCATGACAAACCCGCATTAAGATTGTGTTACATGTTATAATGAATGATTATTTGCATGAGTAATATGACTGATACGAGTAATATTTAATTTATGACAATCTATATATATCAAATGAGTTGAATGTCGAATTTTTATAGCTAAAAATTCCTTGGATTATAATTCTGTTAAACCAATCGGCATCGTCGGCATCACTAATAACAGCCAATCACAAGAAGTATTCTAAGGAGCACAGATCATCTGACACCATAACTTATAGAAAACACTTTTAGAAATATGTATGTTTTTATTATCATTTTTTTTTTTATTATTATTATTATACAAAAGAAACTGAAGCACAGAAGCAGTAGGAACTACATGAAAAACAAAATTTTCTAGTTATCATTTAAATTACGAATAAAGATTTTTATTTGAAAATTAATCACGTGAATTGGCTAGCGCGTAATGATTCATCAAAAATAACCATGTTGGTGTATTGTGAGTTGTTCCAATGTAGTGTCCATTAGCACGTGGATGCGTGCATCCATGGGTCAACTTGGGTATTTTATGTAGGCGGTGTGGTATATTAATTGTATTTTTGAGCGGATACGTAAGCGTACGATAGTTGCTTAACGTTATATTTTTCCGATTAGTTTTAAATACTGTTACATAGTGTTGATCCAAATCTTATATAATTTTTCTGAATAATAAGTTCAAAATCTTTTAATCAGAATTGAGTTATAGCAATTATTAATATTTTTTAGATATTTATGATGCGAACATTGTACAGAAATACTGGTCTCCTTCACTATAATCGGTACGATCATATGTTTAAAATTTTGATCAAATTAAATTAGAAAACTTAAATTGAAATTTGCAAAATTTAATTTTTTAAAACTTGCACGGTTATGTCAAAATTTAATTTAAGTAAACGTAAAAATTATCAGGTCCAATATTTTTTTAGCGACAGCTATAACGATCTTCAAATACTTTTAGTTCATTAGAGGCGACCGTAACTTACTTTAGGATACGTAAAACGTTTTTTTCTAGTGTGTTAGGTAATAACTTTAAAAAAAATTGAAAAATTACAATAAAAATATCTTCTTTTAGTTAAATTACATAATAATATTTTATTTTTTACAAAGGAATTCATAATCTAAATTATTAATCACATTATAATTCTATATCACACGATGACTAAATTAAAATAATATTATTTTAAATCTGTCTTAAGGTGAGCCCTATTCCTATAAAAATAACTATAAAGGATAAAAAAAAATATGCAAATGCTCTACATTGCAAGGCAACCTTTTGAGATATAATTGGCTGAGTTTCTCGAGTTTCTTGAGTTTCCTTAACTTCCTGCTGGGTTTCCCAAGTTTTCCAAGTTTCCCAAGTTCCCTGATCATCTTGAGACATTTCAGATATTAATTTTATCTTGGCAGCATAAACACAGAACTGGGAGAAGCGAACATTTAATATAAAGATTAACATCAAAAGTTTTTCTGAAGAACCTCAATAAATAATAACAAAAATTTCATTTACCTCATCAAAGTAAATATACTCTTCATTGTTCGCACAAATTTTATCAAACCTTGCCTTTAGCATCGTATTCGATTTCACATCTATCCCAATTAGATCATATCCCTTCTTGAATTCTTTGAAATCAATACGTCCATCATTATCTGTGTCAAGCTTTTTAAATATATGGGACAATTCATTATAATAATGAAGAAGATAAATGAGACGTTCGAATTCATTGAAATCAATAAAACCATCCTAAAAAATTTGACGAAATAGGTATGTTAAACTTTAATTGATAAAATTAAAATAATAAAAATTAATTTTCAACGAACCTGTGAAGTATCAGCAGCTTTGTAAGCCTGCATTATAACAGACTCATCTTTTGAGAGGTGTGGATATAGTTGAACAACAGCTTTGTTAATTTCATCTTTAGATATGATACCGTCGTTATTATAATCAAAGATATCAAAAATCTATTAAATAAAATGATTTAAGAATGGAACATTAACTTCAAAAACTATTAAAGACGAAATTGACTATATTAGAAATAAAATATTTCTAAATACCTTCTTGACCTGATTCCTGCTTTGTTTCTTAGTTGTAATAACTGCTTTCTCGTTATAATAATGAAGAGCATCGATTAAATATTCAAATTCTTTAAGGTTGATAGAACCTTCCTAAGAAATTTAACATTGTGAACGTTAAATTCAATTAAAATAACGAAGTGTAGACAAGTTTACAAGACCAACCTGTGAAAATTTAGGTACTTTATCCTGATAAGCCTGCATAATGGCAGACTTATTTTTTTTAAAGTGTGGATAAAGTATGATAACAGCTTTATCGACATCAGTAAGAGGTATGATGCCATCGTCATCATAATCAACGGTTTCAAAAGCCTATAGTAATGATATGAAAATAAAATTAGTAATGTATACAACGCTATGAAATATAGCGTTCAATACCCTTCAAAGGTTAAAAATACTATTAAGCTAAAAATACTATCTAGGCTAAAAATACCATCTCAAGCTGCTAACTTACCTCCTTGACTTGAGTTGTGTCTAATTTTTCGGTAGTAATAACTGCTTTCTCGCAGTAGTCATTAAGTAAATTAATAAAATATTCGAATTCTTTGAGGCCGATTAAACCATTCTAGAAAATTTGGGGAAGTAGTAAAGTTAGCGTTAGGTCTTATTACGGTATATAAAATGGGAACGATGAAATAAGACAAACCTTTGAACTCTTGGCAATTTTTTGAGCCTCTTTAATGATGGCAGTTTTAGTAGCGTGGTTATTTGCAATATGTGGATAAAGTTCGATAATAGCTTTATCAATTTCGGCGAGGGAAAGACTACCATTTCCGTTATAATCGAAGTAGTTAAAAATCTATCATATTTATTGAAATACTAGTTAAGTATTCTTGAAAATAATAAAATATTATCTAGAAAAAAAAATTATTGTCAGGTAATAGTTACCTTCTTAATTTGGGCACTGTCAAGTTTTTCAGAAGTAATAACCGCTTCTTCCTGAGTAGGTTTGCTGATTTTCTTATCACACTTGGGAATTCTGGTATATACTGTTTCCATTTTAATAATTGGAAATGTTTGAAAAAAAAATCTGGGTAAGTCTTCAGAATATATAATAATAGGCGTGATTAAATTAGCTATATATATATATGTATGCATTTTTTTTTTTAAAAAAAAAAAAAATAGGGAAACCTTGATCCTGCAATGTTACATTAGAAGAAACGAGAGGAAATTTTTGGTGGTCCCAACATTGAAATTTCGGGAAGTTAGTCCGGATTCTCTAGCTAAATATGGTTAGCATTAATCCGTATATGGTGGGTATAACGAGGCAAAGATTACTTTAAAGAATAAATATTAGGGATTAAAACAATACAAAGATTTCATTATGATCAACATCGCACAGAACATTCTTTGTTTTATGATAAGGCTGTAAACTCCGCTGATCACACATTAAAATAATTAAATGTAACAAACAAGTTTTAAACCCATGACAATAACAACGTTACAGGATAACAAACAACCTTTGTTTCATAAAACGAATCGACAGGAGTGAGGAGTTAAAACGTAACTTTATACATTATTTTGGCAAAGAAGAATTTATTTGTACTTGTACATGTTTCAATTGTTCTATTAATTTCATTAATCGACTTACTTCTGACGCAGCATCTCAATAACCTAATTAAATCTATAATCATATATTTATCGTACATTTTAGTTTTTTCAACTGCATGATAACCGCGAATATGCGGTTGTACTGCATACTTTCATGCAGTAGAAGTTTTTGTAAAATGTAAAGTCGGGATAAAAATCAAAATTTATTATTTTTTTTTTTTCATGGCGTTAAATGTACAGAATCTTGCATGATCCGAACCGAAAAAAAAACTTTAAAAAGACAGCCAACAGTTAATTTTGTAAAACATTATTTTACAAAGTTTTACATAAAAATGTAAAAATGCAGAAGACAATTTTTAATAGAAGTCATTTAAGCTTCGAGATTTTCCACGAACCTAAATTCCGATATAAAAGTTAGTGACATCATCAAACGGTTGGGTTACGCGTTAGAAGTCACGTGTTGAACTAGCTTAATATTATTTCATTTTTAAAAATTTTCATTGTTTATTCGAATACAAAATAATTAATGCTATTCGATTCAGGAAAATAATTATTCATCAGCAAAATTGAGAGAGCCGAGTTTGAAATAAGTGAAGCGACATTTTCAAGATCAAAAATTCCATTCACGTATAGATAAATATATCAATAATTTATTAAAATAGATAAGAATATTTAACTATTTTAAATTTATTTATTCTTAAAGAAATTGCAATCAAAGAATTCGTGATACGCATTTATCAATTAATATACAAAAAAAAAAAAATAAATATACATAACATTGATAAAGTATTAATGTATTATATATTTGAGAGACGTAGGTGGCGAAATACATGAACTTCTTAGTAAATAGCGCCAACTGGAATTGGGCTCCAATTTACATTTCGTTTAACGATGTTTCTTATTGTCCTTTTTTTGTAATCAACATTGATGTATTGTTCGTCATCATTATACTCTTCAGTATAATAAAGTTGTGGATAGACGTAAAGACTAGTAGGTATCATACAAACGAACAAGTGCAATTTCTTACGAACAATATTCCCATGAAAATGACTGAAAGAGACAAACAGGAATATGCAAATTCTTTCCATTATCGAGTTTCCGGAGTTTCCCGAGTTTCTCGAATTTCTCGAATTTCTCGAGTTTTCCATTTTTCCAGAGCTTCCAGGGTTCCCTGAGCATCCTGAAGCATTCCAGACATCAATTTTATCTTGGAAGCATAAATACAAAACTGGAAAAAGTAAACATTAAATAATATAATGATTAGCTTAGCTTCATGCGTACTAAAAGCTTCTCCGAAAATGATATTCATCTTACCTCGTTAAAAGGGAGTCGCCCATCATTTTTCTTGCAAATCCTAGCAAACTGTTCTTTAAGTATTGTATCTATACCAATTAGTTCATGTCCCTTCTTGAACTCCTCGAAATCAATATATCCGCTTTTGTCTACGTCAAGTTTTTTAAATATATGAGATAGTTCGTTATAGTAATGAAGAAGATCAACGAGATGTATGAGTTCTTCGAATTCAATAGAACCGTCCTAGAAAGTTTGACAGTTGACATATCAGCAGATACGTTAGGATTTATCATGTAAAATTATAATAATAAAAAAAAACAAACCTGTGAAGTATCAGCGGCTTTATAAGCCCGCTCAATGATAAAGTCATCTTTTGAAAGGTGTGGATAAAGTCTAGTAACAGCATCCTTGATTTCGCTTTTAGATAGGATACCATCGCGGTTGGAATCAAATATATCAAAAATCTATTAAAAATAATAATTTTCATAATCTTTAAGATATTTTTATTTTAAAACTGTCACAAAAATAAAATATTTCTAGATACCTTCTTGATTTGAACCTCGCTTAGTTTATTGAAAGTAATATCTGATTTCTCGTTATAATAATGAAGAGCATCAATGATAGATTCAAATTCTTCAAAATCTATACGACCATTTTCCTAACAATTTTTTAACAGTACAAATGTTAGGTCAAATATGTAAAATTAAAACAAAGAAAACTAAATTATAAATATGTTCAACCCATCCAACCTGCGAAAGTTTGGATAATTTATTTCCACAAACTTGCTTGATCGCAGGTCTGTTTTTTTCATTTTTAAAATGCGGATGGAGCATAATAACGGCTGCATCGAAATTAGTAAGAGATAGGTAATCCTCATCACCAAACGTTTCAAAGGACTATCAGTTATAGTGATCGAAAATGAATTCAGTAGTTATAGAATACTTTCTTGATTATGAAAATTTATTATTATGGTACCTTTCTGACACGAGCTTTGTCTGGCTTCTCAGTAGTGATAATTGCTTTTTCGCAGTATTTATGAAGATGTTTAATAAAACTTTCAAATTCGTTAAATTTAATATACTTAATCTAGAAAATTTTGTGAATTAGCGGTATGTTTTGCTTCAATAAGTAATGTAAAACGATAAAACAAGATAAACCTTTGAAATATTAAAATCTTCATAAGCTTTATCGATTGCAGCAGCCTTGGTAGCCTCCCCACATGCGAGATATGGGTAGAGTTCAACGACAGCTTTATCAACTTCAGCACGGGAAAGACCACGCACCATTCCCATTACGATCGAAGTATTCAAAAATCTATCCCAATTATTGAAGATGAAAGTTAATACCATAAAATACCATCTGCTGGAAAATTTTGCTAAATAGATACCTTCTTAATTTGAGCTCTGTCCGGTTCTTCGATAGCAATATCCGCATTCACTATTCTGTTACGCCTTCTGGGAATACTGTTAGCCATGTTTATAATTGGGAATTTGTTTGAAAATAAATTTGAAATGATACTTGAGTGTGTCTACAAACTATATATAAATATATAATGAAATATGCAAAAATTTCATTGATATATCTTAATATATTCATATTTTTTGTAGTATCACATCATAAACGTTATCATGGATAAAACGGGAATTTACTAATGAACCCAACATTGAAATTTCGGGAAAGATAATACGGTTCACGAAAGAAAAATAGTTAACAACAATTAAAATAACTAAACCATATTTGTCAGATATAACGAAGTAGTATTTCGTCACGCATAAATTTATCTGGTGATGTTCATAATAACTATTCTGTTTAGAGTGAGTGACACAAGTTACGCTAAACATTACATAAATGTTCACGTAATGGTAAATGAGCATTTTAATTTAGCCAAGAAAACTTTATTTTTAGAAATATATTATGATTTTAATAAATACATATATGTGAATAATTATCATTTATCAATAACAACAGTATTAATAATTATGATTTATGACTAAAATGGGATTAGAATAACGAGCGTCAATAAATTCTTTATACTACGGTAAATAGGTATCTTTGTAATTAAATAAACAATGGGATGATGGCTTTATTTATTAAACAAATATTGTAACGAACTTTCTATTTGAAATGTTTTAGAAAAGAATATTTATCATATATTATTTGTTAATTTTCTTTAATTTTCTTTAATTAATATTATTGACTATTAATCTAAAATATACATAATAAAAAAGATAAATTATTATATATTAGTATGTAATAGAATCTTACAAAATAAAAAGAAAAAAAAAAAAAAAAATTATCAAAATACTAATCATATATGTTGTATTATGCGTTAAGTTTCTTAGTAACCCTAAATTGGATCAAAATTATATTTAATATTGATGAAGATTTAAAATTTAATAATTTAATTAAAAAATCTAATATATGTATAAATATATTTTTTAAAAAAATGATGCCTATAAAATCATTTTAATATATAATAAAATATATTACGACTTTTTATTAATAAAATTTCAGTCTCTTAACATTAAGATATTCAGGTTTTCGTCAGCAAATTATTTACTTACGTAAAATGCTGGTCCCGACATCCTGTGACTTTACTGGTTAAATATAATTATATTAAACCAGTTGATCTAGGTTAAAGAGATATGGTTAGACTATAGAGGTATACTGAGGTATTGTTAGATTATAGAGGTATACTTAGGTTAAAGAGGTATGGTTAAATTATAGAGGTATATTATTTCTGCGATCTAACTTTACTTCTCTAACAATATAGTTTTTCCTGCTTTCTCATTAGACTTCTGGACTCCTAACAGACAGAGTGAAAAGAGTACAAGCGCGACAACGACTTCGGAATGGATATAATTTTAACGAGGAAAAAGTCACTGCATTAATCCCTTTTCAGAAAGGTATTCGGAGCAAAAGTGGAGTCGCACCTAATACTCCTGCTACCTCTTCCTCCGGTCAAGAAGTGAAATCGGAAGGAGGCGCAGTGAAATTTATGTCAAGTTTCGCAAGAAGAGTCTATTGAGGAGTTGGCTCAGCGTATTGTTCAGGACAACCTTAGTGAAATGGAAGTAAAAGCAAAATGCAAGGTCTTAGTTGAATCAGCCTCAAGTGCTAGTTCTGCCTAGAGAATTACGCAAGCCTAACGCTTCAGATCCTAATACAACCCGTTTAACTAATGAAAACCAAAAAGAAAAGAGGAGCGCTTACGTCGCGAAAATAGGGACATTAATTATCCGGACCATTTTGCGTTAGAATCAGTTAAGGAATATTAGATGGTTATGATATATCTAATAAACCTGATTTACAGGCTCTTGCCGATGTAATGATAATGCTCTGTATCCGTCCTGCTGAAGTTAAAAGTTTAAGAATTTCGGATGGGAGCGTAACTGGCTGTGAAATATCGAGGTCAGGCAGACATTCCTCGTGCATTTAGATAAATGGAAAAAAATGAGGAGCGTGCCAGACAGTTACTTAAATGGATAGATGCAATTTCATCTGGGCAGTTAAAAGATCCTGGTACGCCTGGTATTAAATGTTTTTGCGCATTCCTAAAAAAGTACGATTTACTCGATATTTACGAAATATAGGAGCTGTATTTGCAGTGGTAACACATGGAGCTACAAATTTATCGAACGCTATGACTATTGCATCCGAAGCTTTAAGGCATTGTCCTAGAAACCATACCTCTCCTGCGAAAAATTATACTATAGTTAATTACAGACCTCGCGGAGTATCTTACGACCAAGCAAAGCCGTTCAAACTCTTTGACAACAACTAATCATGACGAATTTTCCGTGACGAAAAATCAGCCGGGTGGGAATTTATTTTTTTCGAACAAGATATAGCATATATAACGCATTTATCTGTTTAGACATGCGGTTAGATCGAAGGAAGGAAGGAATCAAGCATTCATCTGATTGTAAATCCAGTGCGCCAGTGAAAAGATTAAAACTATTCTGCACAAAAAGCCCAAAAAGAGAGTCAGATTGTTAGAAGAGAATGTAGACTTTGTTAGAAAACCTGGTAGAAGAGTTATATTATATTGTGAAAACAAATTAAAGGACTCATATCAGATTTGACAGGTTCGTCCGAAGAACACTCTGATGGTTTAGAAATACATGTAAAACGCTCTCATCCAAATAAGAAGTTTCAACCTCATAAACAGTGAATTTGGGGCAGTTAGGCCACGCAAATTAATATTTTCGGTTCACATAACATTAAAATTTAAAATTGACCCGGGGACCCGGGTTTTATTTTTTATTAATCAAAAATTTTATTATAAGTCACGTGATCGACTAGGTTATAATTAGATAATCTGTATTTAGGGATTTCGAAGATAATCAAATTTTTTCATTCCAGTTTGTTATTAAAAATGTCTATCATACATGTGCGAATAAGTTACAACTCTGTAACTTTAAAAGGTTTACCAGTTGTAAAGGTAACAACTGGTATAAAATGCACAAAGTCCTCATAGCACAGATGACTCTTTAAAAAATTATTTTCTATTGTTAAAGTTAATAATACCTTGACATGTAATAGTCCTATTGAAATTCCATATTATTCAAGTGGATTATTTAAAGAAGCACTTGTTTTAACTATGGGGCAGAATGTGAAGAATTATTGAGAGTATTTTCCATATTGTGAAGATTGTAGTGCGTACCATTGGAGATGATAAGATGAAGCTCAAGGATATGCTACTAAATTAAAGAGAGAAAGTAAAATGGAGAGGAATGGTCAGTTAAAATAAAAAGAGAAGGAGTAAAGAAAATAAATTTGTAAAGTCAAGTAACGTAATTACTATTCATAATAATTAAGATTTAACCAATAAAATTACTTTGAATTACGTGATAAAAATTTTACATATAAAAATTTTTTGGCCAAATTTTGAAAAAGCGACCCGGTTGGGTAAAATGAACCGAAAATATTAGTTTGCGTGGCCTTAGTCCGAGACAAGTGTCCCTGGTCCGGAGAAGTGACGTGAACGTCATCGCCGGAGCATAATCTTGTTGAGCCGGAAGAATCCTGACCACAAGTCATGTGAGTTGGCTGTGTTTGTGCAACAGAAAAATTTCGAAAGAAATAAATACGCTAACCGAAACCTTTTTCTTTTTTCCCCATACAAACGCGAGAAGAATGTGAAAATCTTTTCTTGCGTCACAGGACCTACCCTATAAGTTGATACTGGCGGTAAAAGCATATGCTATGAAAGGCTGAGAACTTCGCAATTCCGAGATCGCCAGGCGTAAAACTAAGTTTGAGTCTTCCAGTAGTGATCGCTAAACTAAAAGGAACCAAGATTCGATTTCATGTACTTTCAAAGGTTCCTTGACATCATACAATAGCGATAATCATCTTCCTTACAGTATCTTCTGCGATCGGTCCTTTTATTTTTCCGCGGACAACAGTAACGAGATATAAAGCGTAAAAGGACTGGTAGAAGTTCAGCAAACCTTCCCGCGAAAAAATAAAGTGCGTATATCATTTATTATCTCCTCCCTTTGGTCGTCGTTCATGAAGATATTAATGGAAGACTGCAAGACTCTACTCTGAATCTAAATTTTTGTGACGCAACGGCTAAAAATTTGGGCAAGATGTCTGATATTATTCTCGTCTTATTATTCCTTGTGGTAACTTCATGGTCTTACGATCGATAAAGCTACGCAGAGAGTTACAGTTGGAAGAGTCAAACAGTTAACGCACTTGAAACTGCAATTCAAAGCAAATTGGAGACACCCTTTAATAATGTTCGCTTGGATTCATCAAACTTCCGATGAGGCGCTTATGCAACCGCAGGCCTTGATTTCCTCTTTTTTTGGACTATTACCATATTGTCGAACGTCCCCTGACAGAACAGTTTTCTGTATTGTATAATGCTAGTAATCGACTCGTTAAACGAAGAACTTATTTGCATCACTGAAGGAAGCAGAATCAGGAAGCCAGCCTTAGGTATCATGCAAAATGTGATGCAACTCGATAGCTCCTACCACACGAACAAGAAAAAAACGAATGGCTTCCACCGCTTTCGATAACGATTTTTGATTACCTCTATGGGATCGTAACCACAGCCACGGATCTTCATCATGTACACGCCAGAAAGAATTTATTGCACAAAAGCCACTTCGTCGGGCGTTAAAAAGGTTATGGAAGTGATCGTAGGTTTATTGAAGGATAGGGTAGAGGTTGATGACACCCTGATGCTAAGAGAGCTAGGACAGAAAATAAATTAAGGAATGGTTAGGTAGTCCGCTATAATTAGTATAGACATCATTGTTCGCATGTATTATGGGCGTTGACCCGATTATCTCTGTATTAATAAAGCGAGTCTTTACATCTATTTACCACATAACATTGAACACTTAACATTTCCTGTCGTGTACAAAAATATTATCAATCACGTCATCTGAGCTGAGTTTCTACATTGATTATCAGATTCAACTATATCTGATTATGTGGCTTTATAAAAACGACATTTGTAAGATATGCAAAATATTATATTGAACGAAAATATTTAACAACATGAATTCTTCTATATACCCCGGATACAACGGTGAGCCTTATAGCTTCTTTAATAACATTCATTCGGTTTCTAATCAAACTTTCTACTTTTTGGTTCTCGCTTCTTATATGAACTGGCTATGTACCTTCTTTACCACCAAATAAAAAATTTTGCGCACTCCTAGCAAGTAACAATATCTTTCTTATGACCGGTAAACACTGAACGTACGAGTTATAAAAAAAGATTTGCAGACATATTGGGGTTATCGAAGAACACTGAAAGGTAAAACGAAAGCGAGATGAAGAAAAAGAAATAACCCATCATCAAAACGTTTCCGATCCGTTATTTCTCTTACTTATCTCATCCAAGGAAATACAATAGCAGATGCCTTCGGAGTCGATATTGAGAAGAGTAAATCTATTAGCAAGCTTAAAGACATTATCAAGAAAAAGAATACACAAACATTTGCTAACTTTGATGCAAAGGACATTAAGCTATGGAAGGCAATAATTCCCGACGATCATATCGATCAGTTGAGAACTCTTACACTCCAGCACAAAGACGAACTCTTTGCAATGAAAAGATTTCGAAATACTTCCCTTTTATACCTCCCGAGGAGCATATTCATGTTGTCGTAAAGTCCCCACGTAAATATCAGTTACAGTATACGAATTTTACATTTATTCGCCCTGTATTATTCATATAACATGTCTTCGTTTTCCAGTTCTTAGTCTGAAAGAGGCGTTGACATGTATTCCGCCACCAATTACGTATTCTCCAAAATGTACAAAGTCGGAAAAAAAAACTACTAAAGTAAATTGAGATCCACCTACAAGAATATTTCTATGGAGACTTTTTTGATGAAGTTAATCAATTCCATTTCGACAAACAGCCAGATAAAGTGGTATTTATAAGGAAGGATTTTTACTATAGTTTTAGTCAGTCTCTTGACTCAAGACCAAAGAAAATGGAAAGAAAAATTAGTAGCAATAAATTAGGAAAAAAGAGAGCTTAACAGTTAATTCTGTTCTCTCATATTAACAATAAATAAACAATAAAACTTGTATCAAATATTTTAAAAAATCTAAACCAATCAATGTACTTAATTTTATTTAACTAATAACTAATAAAGTTCTTATTCTAAATAACCAAAATCCTTGTCGGGAAAGACGAGTGGCAACAGTCTTTCGCACGACAACGTCAATTTCGGTCACACGTTCCATACTTCGGTTGCTCATAACGCAAATAAAACCCTTCAGGTGCAAAGCGTTGAAAAAAGTTTAAATAAAAAATAATTTATTTGGATAAAAAGCGTCAGACGCACGCAGAACATGGTGTCCTTATATCCTTCGAAGTGGTGCGGTTTGCAATGAGGGGTGCTCCCGACCGGAAGGATGCAAAACCTGCGGTGAATTGACGGCTTCACAAGTATGGCGCATGCAATAAGCATGCAGGGAAATATTCAGAATCAAAACTTTTATTATCGGAAGAAACTAGCCGAGATGGATGCGCAGTTAATGGTGCATCTGGAGACACCTTACGCAATACATCCGCGCAAAATCTAGAAGCAAAAGGCCAAATTGTGCAAGTTTGAGGTGCGTAATAGTTTTGATCACGATTTTTGGGCGACCCAAGACGCTGAAATTTGCGGGATCAGAAATTTCGGTCACATGATTTTTTTGTCGTCTCTAGCGTCCCTAAGAGGCCATTTCTGGATGTTTCTAGTAAAAATTCCAACTGGAGACGCATCTGGAAACGCCTTTTCATAACTCCTTTGGCTTCTAAGCGCGAATTGAGTCGTTCAAGGTGGGTGGCACCGTGTCTAGTAAATTTCTCGATCGGAAAAATAAATCCGACTACCGGGTGACGCTGAGGTAGTCAATTTTATGTGCCTCTCTGGACGATCAACAAATCAGCAAGAGACTAAAAAAAAAATCATATTGTAAAATAAAGTCGCTTAAACTTTGAGGCCTTGATTAAATTTTGAAAGCTAGATTTATATAAATGAGCATCGGTTTGCAAGGCTAATAAAAAAAAGACATTACCTCCAGTTTTCATGTAATCAAAGCTTTAACCGAACCGACAGAAAACCGTAAAATCAAACTATATTAGACATAATTTTTTATATCAAAATATTATTTACTATGATACTTTTAGATTATATAATTAAAATCGTATAAAATCAACGGTCAACCAACAGCATTACGATTTTGTTTTATTAAAATTTTCATAGCTCACTTAACTAAAATTTAATTGGGTATAAAAATAATTTAATAGAGCTGTAAAGCGGAAGAATAATTTGATAAATTGTTTACCGGTAGATGATAACGAATCTAACAAAGCTTATTATCAATGGAAGTGAGGTGATAATTTGATCTTTAGAGTTTTACAGTTAAAAAATATCGTATATTTTATTAATTTTGTAATAAGTACTAACGGAGAGTGAACGTTTTAATTTCCTGAATTTATATTTAATATTGCACAAACTAAGATTCAGACGTATTTAACGTATTTACAGCGATAAATTTTTAATTTCATTGAAATTAAGATTTATTTTTTTTTAATGATTTGAAATACTTCATAATCTTCTATTAGAAATTTATCTTCACTGTCTCTTATCTTTTTCTCATAATATTTTTGTTTACAGTAAACCACATTAAAATTTAATCCAGCTGCTAATGAACCTGATGGATCTAATGAAATTTTTGAACCTATTTTAAGGTCGCCAAAACATGGACCTGCACCTATGTGGCAAACTATTGCTTTATCTATATCTTCTACATTACTTAAGAATGCATTTTCAAGATTACTCTTACTTTTAAAAGAAAATAAAAAACTATATTGAGTTTGAATCCAACCACTAACAGAATCCCATGTTAAAGGATTATATCCACCAACAATTTCTTCTGTTCCTTTTATTTTAAGAAAAGTGACAGTATTATTCTTATGATCACATAATTCATGAAATTCTTTAGGTTTAAATCCATCTCTACTTCCTCTTAACAGAAGCTTAAATTCGTATGGTAAATATAATTCTCTCAAATATGTAAATTTACTATTATTATCCAATTTATTAATCCATCTTGAAACAATTGAAATAATATTTAAATTAACAATTTTTGAATCAATAGTCATATCTGTTTTTATATTTCTTGGAAGTGAAATATTATCATCATAACTTGATTCATAATCAGGATCCATATAAGAGTTTAATAAATCATTATAAAGTTGATGATTTAAAAGTTTTTTATAAGGACTTACTTTATGTAAGAATTCTTTAGATGATAAACTATAAAATCTAATCAAAGGTATACAATTCTTTAAAGTATTTTCCATCGCATTGAAATCATCATCCATCCAAGTATCAGAATCTGCATTAAGCGTAGGATTTTGTGTAATTCCCCATTGTAATACATGTTCCCAAATTTCAACTTCTTTCATTTGTAAATCATCTCTTTTAATAATTGGAACTAATAATTTTTCAGGAATTGAAGTGAAATCAGTTGAATTAAATAATTTTTCTGGTGAATCAGCAATAATATTTAAACAATAATTTTGGAGTTCAGAAAAATTATTAGATTTAAAACTTGTTCGATGTGTTAATTCAAAATGTTGTTCTATCCACTCGGATTCGTTTAAAATTAAGTAATTTTGTAAATGACCAACTAATTCCTGAAGAAGTAGTTCATCTGCAGCTACTAAAATTTTAAGAATATCTGAAGTTTTCAACTCGTCTAACGAAAGAATACCACCATAAATATACCTATATATTAAAAAATTTTTTTTAATTAAAAAACTCTTTATTAGACGAGTAATTGTAATTAACGTTACCTTAAAATAATTTGAAAGATTTCTGATGATATATTTGGTAATTTAATATGAGATAGGACATTATTATTTTTTTTATTTGAAGCTAAAGTTCTTCGTAAATATGGAGAACGGTAATATAATATATTCATATGTGCACGAAATATTTTAACGTTAGGATCTTCACCGACTTCAATCGTAATATCATAATATTCACTATCATCATCTAATAATTCAATGTAATTTTGACTTAGTTTTGAAAAAAATTCCGATGTCATTTTTTAAGTGGGAAAGAGAATGTAGATATGTTATGTAGTGTAACCATTACTACAGGTAGATTCTATAAAGAAAAAATTTTTTATTATTGTGCGACTTACAACGTCACGAGTTAATTTTACTGTGTTATAGTTTGTTTGTTTTCAGTGCCAATTTAAGTTTTTGATACGTAAAATACTTTCCTTTATTTTAAAAAAGTGGTTGTACGACTTGTATGTGTACATCATAATTAATACATGCAGATGACCGATGCTAATCCTGATTTATAGCTAATTATGTTTATTGTGTTAGGGGTAATCATTTGATGATCGACATAATGCAAAATTCGGGAGTTTATTTTATTTCCCCGAAAAAAAAGGCAAAAGTTAAATTTAAAAAAAAAATTCAAACATTCCCCTACTTTTTTCTCTCTCTCTTTTCTTTATTACATTTTCTTTTTTTTTTTAAAAAAAAAAATAAAATATGACATGTTCAAAAATATTTTCAGGAGATTTACCTGAATTAATAAACGAAGTTATAAAATATTTTCGTCATGATTATAAAACATTACATTCATGTATATTGGTTAATAGATTATGGTGTCGTCTAGCAATTCCATTATTATGGGAAGATCCATTTTCAATAAAACTTCCTAAAAATTATCGTTTTATTGAAATTTATTTAAATAATAATTTAAATGAAGAAGATAAAACAAAATTAAATGAATATGGTATTAATTATAATAAATTATTATTACCATCAAATACATCAAATAATTCATTATTTAATTATCCTAATTTTATTAAATGTTTAAATACATGGAAAATAATATTTTCTATTGAACAATGGATTTTAACTATTATAAATGTTAAAGCAGGATTACAATCCACCAATTATTTTTTAAAAAATATGTATCCAAATAATTTTGATCAAAAATTAAATTCTTCAAGATTAATTTATAAATTATTATTTAAAATATTTATTGAAAATGAAGTAAAATTACATACTTTTGAAGTTATTGTTGTTAGAGATATTGATCATGATTGTTTTAATGATGCTTTTAATTTAATTTTACAAAATCAAGATTTTATTTTTAATATAAAAAATTTAAAACTTCAAAGAATTGCAAATGGATCAAAAATTTTCCCTTTTTTAAAATTTTTATATTCAAATTGTAATTCAATTAATTCACTTTATTTTCAATTCCCAAGATTTAATAATAATAATTTATTAACTGAAGATTATTTATTAAAAATAATTAATTCACAAAAAAATCTTAAAAAAATTTCTTTTGAACGTAATTATTTATTTAAAGGAAAATTTTTTTTATCATTAAAAAATTCAAATTGTTCAAATACTTTAAATACCATCATATTTTATAGGATAGATTTTAAAAAAATCATCATTTCAAATGAAGAATTTGAAAATTTAAATGTTTTAGAATCAATTCATATACTTTATTGTTATTCTTTAAATTCAGATTTTATTCAACAAATTATTAATCTTAAAAAACCATTTAAATTAAAATCTTTATTTATGGATATTATGTTACAAATTGATTCTTTAAATTTATTATTACAAAAATCTGGTTCTTATTTAGAAAATATTGGTTTTGGCTCTTCTATAAGTAATGAATTAAGAAAACAATTTGATTTATTTATGAAATATTGTAAAAATATTAAATTTTTTGAATTACCAGGTTTTGATAATTTAAATATTTATTTATCTTTTGATTTAATTAAAATTCTTGATCAAAATCTTAATTATCTTTCTATAGATTTTCATTATTATCTTGATTATTATTATCATCATAATTTTTCAAATGATGGTGATATGGAACCTAGTTCTATAGTATTATTAAATTTGGGTCAAATTCTTCCTCATAAGTTAGAATATTTAAATTTATCTCTTAAATTTGATTTAAATAATTTAGAAATATTTTTACAAAATTCTCAAAATACTTTTATTAAAAAATTATTAATTAGAAATAAAATGCAAGAAGGAAGTCTTAATATTTTACCTTATATAAAGAAATATATTATGAAAAAAGAAAGGGTTAAATATTTAGCTATAATGGAAGTTTATTTTGAAAAAAGGGAAGATTTATCTTTTATGAAAGATGAGGTGAAAGAATTTGAATCTTATAATATTAAAGTTCAAAATTATGATGATTTATATATTCAAGTTTATGATTTGATAAAAGAGATGGATTAGATGTTTTACTTTGCGTATTTTTGCAATTTAGTATTTCTTTTACTTATATAGAGAATTTCCATGTTACGCGTATATCGAGACTTTTTAAATTCAATTTAGCATAAATAAATTTAGTATTTCTTTTTATCGTAATAAAGTATGTACTTTATAAGTTGATAGAAACCTGAGTTATTATTTAAATAAATAAAATTTGTAGTGAAATTAGAAAACTTTATATGTCATAACATTTATTAATGACAACGAAAAATATATTTTTTGCTATAGACTGTTCTAATTAAAAAATAATTATAGCAAAGTCACATGGCCTTTAAGATTATTTAAAATTTCTTGGATAAAAATTTACTTCATACATCTTTAAAGAATAAATATTTACAGAAACTAAAAATAAGTTAACATATTAATCAAGGCGCCTACGAACTAGGCGGAAGATAGTTTTAGTCGTAATTCGTGAACTACTTTTCGACTACCAAAATATCGCTTATCACAAAATTACATACCAGTTAATTAACCTGCTAATAAAAGTTTTTTTAATTTATTACGGATCAAAAAAAAAAATATTAAATTTTTTATAGGAAATACACGTACTTATTTATTAATATAAATGTATTATAAAAGTGGTGAGATTGCGAATTCATTGGATTGGATCGGATAAAATTCAACCCAACCCATAGAGGCTCCATAGAGGATTAGATTTTTGAGAAAAATTTTTTGGTTAAAAAATTTATGTTAGTTATAAGCGGAGTGATGTCACTGATGTGGGTAGATAATTTAAATTAACTGGTTAATTTATCCGGTCAAATTATGTATCATAAAGATTATGATAATATTATAGCGAACTAAAATTGTAACGGAGAAAATGTTTTTGTATATCCTTAATATATACAGTATGTTTTACATAATATAATTATATTTCAACGAAAATTTTTATGGGTGCGTTTGCAAATTCAAATGGGTCTAGTACGATTGACTATATTGTACCACTGTAACGTCTGAAATTACCTAGTGAAATTATTAATTTTGGGCGCAGTCTTGAACATGTCTGTTTTTAATTTACTGCGGTCCGGAATGACCATAATATTTTCATTGGTTATTTTATTATTTTATTTTTATTGGTTATTTTATTTTATTATTATGGGACTACGTCCGCGATGACGTTAAACTAATTATTTTATTTGATCTATATAATTTTGCCAATTATATGAGATTTTGAAAAAGAGAAATTATTATTTTAATTGGTTATTTAATTTCCTTAAATATACTAGTTAAGTTTCATTTAGAAATGGGATTTAGAAATTATTTTCTTGAATTTTTCATTCTGTTATTTTTTTTTATTATGAAACTCGGGATTTGTTATAAATTTTATCGAATATAATAAAAGTTATTTTTGTAGCTAGTGGTGGCAAACGTCTTTATGACGGGCACAAGTCCTACACCACCTAAACTTCTTTAACCTTCGTGGTTAACCTTAACTGGTTCTAATAGTTGCGAGAATTCTATTTCGTAACATTTTTTAATGACGACAAAAATTATAAAGTGGACGGTCAAACTTTTGTAAATGTATTATACTCTTGATTTATTTCAGATTGAAGTAATTTCAAATTACTTCTTTTCGCTTAATACAGTATGTATTTTCTTCTCCAAAAGTAATCAAAAAGTAATCAAATTTTATCGAACATTACAATTTTAGATATATTATCTAAAATTTATGACAAATAAATAAAATAAAATAAAAAACAAACGTCAAACATATATATTACAGTCAATTTTGATAAATAATAATTATGTAGTTGAATTTCAATTTTTTACTTAATCTATGTACGTATTTCTTCCATTTTTAAATTTATCACATTTTATTTATAATAAATAATAAAGGAATGTGTTTACCAAAAAAAAAAAGAATTGTTCAATAATTTGATTTTTTTTTTCCTGTTGTGCGACGACGGATTAGTCTATTCATCGACGGAGAATTGAGCTCCGAAAATTACTATATTAAGTTGTATAATGGCGGATCGCCAACATACATAATTGTATTTTTTCTATAGACGTTTGCAATTTACCGTAATTTTTTCTAAATAGAATTTTCTAGAATTTCTTCATAAAATATAAATACCGTCGTTTAATTTTTACATCCAAATTTGAAGCCACTTTCTTAAAATATTATATATGTGGAAATAAGCAATGGCTTATTCACATGAATTTTATGATCCAAAATTGAAATCTAGTCCTGTACCTATTTTATTTATTCCTTTTAAAAAAAACGAGGAAAAATGTAATTATTGTGGAATTGAATATTCCAAGACACTTAAATTTGAACAGAAATATTGTAAAAATTGTTTATTTTTGTATATTAAATATATGGGAAACAATACATGCTTGGATACATATATAAGTACAAATAATACTCAGTGTGTTGAACATAAAGCGACTAGGAATAGTTTTTGTACAATAAACATTCAAGAATGGTGTGAATATTGTTCTGCGATTTCACTCTTTACGCATTTAATCCCCAATACTTCTTCATTAAATAATTACTCTATTTCACAAAGTATGTATGATTCTGCTACAAACTATGAGTGGAGGCTATTTTATTTAACTGAGTATGGTCAAAAACATTATTACCAAATTTCCTCTGAGTGGATAGAATTGATATTGACTAAAAAGTCCATTCAAGTACTTTATTTATCATGGTGGGATAATTTTGATAAATGTATGTTTTGTCTACAAGAATTAAAATATATACACCAAGAGTCAGTATCTAATTGTCAAAAATGGTGCCAAAAATGGTGTTCGCAATGCTTTATAATTTATACAGGATGTAGGTATTGTTTAACAACAAATGTTATTTTTGGAATTACAAGTCAATCTCAATGTAAAAATTGTGAAAGAATATCGTTTATTAATATTGATATTACAAATGTTAGCAGTGAAAATTGTATCATGGATGAATTTATTCTAACTTTTACAAGAAATGATACAGATTCAAACTCATTAAGGTTTATTAGATATTTATATAGTAAAATGGTAAAATATTTAATAGAACGGATTCCATATTCTCAATTTAAAGATTTAAGGAAAATAGGAGAAGGAGGATTTAGTATTATTTATAAAGCAACTTGGTCAGATGATGGTACAAGGAATATTGACGTTGCTTTAAAAAAATTATTTAATTCACAAAATATAAGTAAATATTTTTTCAATGAGGTAATATTTGATATTAATATATCTTTCAATGTGCTTTATTCAATATTTAATAATATATTTATTCTAGCTAAAAGCACTTTCTCGATGTAATTATGCAACATTCGGAATAATTGGTTTTCATGGTATTACACAAGATCCTATAACAGAAGAATATATATTGATAATGAAATATGCAAATAGCGGAAATTTACATAATTATTTGCAAAATAATTTTATAAATATTACTTGGACTAGAAAACTGAGGATTTTAAAGGATATTTCAGAAGGGTATTTTCGTACTTTTTAATGTATTAATTTTATTATTTACATTTAAGTTAATCAACTACCAATGTTTCTATATTAGACTTAAATATATTCATGGCAATAATTTTATGCATCGGGATTTTCATAGTGGGAACATACTATCATCAATTCAATCTTGGCTAGCTAGAGATCGTCGGAGTATACTTCAAGATTGGCTAATTGGAGACTTTGGATTATCACAACCTGCAAATAGCACCTCACCAAATAATGAAATATATGGAGTAATACCTTATATTGCACCAGAAATATTTAAAGGTGCTGCATTTTCTCAAAAATCTGATATATATAGTTTTGGTATGATAATGTGGGAACTTACAACAGGTTGTAAACCTTTTGCTAGTGTTGAACATGATCATAATCTCATCTTTAAAATTCTTGATGGAGAACGACCTAAAATTACAGAAGATACTCCTGAATGTTATGCCGATTTAATGAAAAAATGTTGGGATTCTAATCCTTCAAAAAGACCAACTATTGATAAAATCTGCAACACTATTCTTGATTGGACTTGGACTGCTATGATTAATCTTCAATTTGAAACTATTATGGAATTTGAACGAGCTGAAAAAAAAAGACTGAAATTAATACAATTAAAGAAACTTGGACCCGGATTTAGTGAAAAACCTCATCCAAACGCAATTTATACAAGTAGAGCATTAAGTTCATTAATTTCTAAATCTTCTACTATAGATTTTTCTTCAATTAATTCAGTTAGTGCTAAACAAGGTATATTATATTAATGATTACTAACTCGCAGTCAGATATGATCTATTTATTTCATTTTTATATTAACTTAAATACTTTTTAGAGTATATTACAAAAGAATATGAACTTGATATAAATAAAGTTCAAAGGTAACTGTTACAATGAATAAAAATATTAATAATATAATAGAAAATTAAAATTTTTTATTATGCATTCTTTAGTTCATCCACTCAAAATATAAATTCCGGTCAAGTCCCTAATCTTCAGCATCAAAATGTTAGTGGTCCATTAAATTATTTAACTGCAAATTCTTCAAGAAAGCGAAATAATGAAGAATTAAATATTGAAACACAAAATAGTAAAAAAATTAGTAAGTAAAATTTTTTATTTACTAATACTTGTAGCATATTACAGTATCATGCCAATTTAAATTAATTTTCTTTTTAATTAAAATAGGAAAAAATATTAATACTGATGATTCAGATAAAGAACTTTATTGAATTTATATTAAGCTTATTAAATTTATTGTTTTTAACGATGTGGTACAAATAGACTATTAATTTTTTTGATTAAATAATCGGTACTATTAATTTATATTTATATGGTATTTTTTGCGAATTATTTTTAAATAAAGCATGTGATAGTTTATATAATATGATATATAAAATAATAATTCGCCGTACATAATTAATCACATTTTTCCTTTAAGATATCAATCCTTTTTTGTATTGAAGGCAGGAATGAAGTTTTTTTCAATCAAATTTTTAATAATCTCCAATTTTGAAATTTAAAGTAATAGGTTAAGGTTCAAAAGTTTAATTGATTTTCTACTATAGACCGTTTTAATTCAAAATTTTTTATAGCAAATTCTAAATCTAAATGATCCTAAATATTATTTAAAAATTTCTTGGATAAAAATTTACTTCATGTATCTTTTAAGAATGAGAATTATAGAAGTTGAAAATAGAGTCATTATTAGTAATCAAGTGTTTACAAACTAGATTTCGAATTGTATTGACTATGCCCAATAAATTATCACATTTTATTGTAATATCTTCGTCTACCTATATTACTCCTATCACACGAACTATCATGTAAAGATTTTTTTTTACATTCATGATTTTTGTCATTTGTAGAGTCTATATGACATCAATTTTTGATCCTTCGTAAAATAATCCTATAATCATTAGGGTTTGCCGCGTAACTATCACATGACAAATAAGAAAATTATTTGATAATTTTTGACTATTACTAGTATTGGCTAAAACATACTATTAATCAACACAAAGGCCAACTTTGTGCGACAAATTACCGTATATAATCCAAACATTAACTTTACTTTTAAACATCTCTTACTCTTTTTTTCTCTTTTCTCTTTAATTTCTTTCGCTCTGCAATATCGATATGACATGTTCAAAGATATTTTCGGGAGATTTACCTGAAATAACAACCGAAATTATAAAATACTTTATAAATGATTATAAAACATTACATTCATTTATTCTAGTCAATAGACTATGTTGTCGTTTAACAATCCCATTATTATGGGAAACCCCATTTTCTGCTGGAAATAATGGTTTTATTAATATTTATTTACATAATTTGAAGATAAAATAAAATTAAACGAATATGGAATCAATAAAAATTTATTTCCTTCAAGCACATTATTCAATTATCCTTGTTTTATCGAACGGTTAAATTTATGGAATATAATTTCATCTATTTTAAAGTGGATTACAACAGTTAAAATTTTATCAGTTTAGAGAATCAGGTGAACAGTCCGCTATTTATTCTATACAAAATATACAAAATACAAATTTATCATCAACTTTACTTCTTGAGCATGGTCCTTTAATATGAATTATTATTTAAAATATTTATTAAAAATGAAGCAAATTTAAGTATATTTTTTGAAGTTTCAATCTTTTCAAATGATATTTGTTATTATTTTAATATTGCTTTTAAATTAATTTTACAAAATCAATATTTTATTAATAATATTAAAAATTTAGATCTCACTATTTATACAACATTTTTAAATGTAACAAATGATTATTAATTATTTAAAATCGATTAATTTAATTTCATCCCTTAATTATCACCTTAGTAATTACAAATGATTTAAGTAAAATTTATTTACCACAATTAATTAATTCGCAACAAAATCTTAAAAAGAAATTGTTTTTAGTTCAAGTTATAAATCCCTTGAATCAATTATTATTTGAATAATTAAAAAATTTTAATTGTTCAAATACTTTAAAAATTAAATATATTTTATAAGATTAATTTAGGTAATGTTTTTATTTTTAATGATGTATTTGAAAAATTAAATGTTTTAGAATCTATTCATATTTTTGAATGTGGTTCTTTAAATTTATTTATTAAATAAATTATTATTATTAAAATCTTTAAGGAATCATTACAAAATGAATTATTATAATTATTATTACAAGAATCTAATAATTATTTAGTAAATATATCTAAACAACAATCACTTGAATTAATTTTAAGATATTGTACAAAAATTAATTTGTTTGATATAAATATATAATTGGATTAGATAATCAAAATATTTATTTAGTATTTAGTATTCAATTTAATTGAAAATTTTGGTCAATATCTTAATTACATTTCAATTGATTATATAAATAAATCAATTGATATTGAAACTATTTCAATCTTATTAAAAAATTTAGGTCAAATCCTCCTTTTAAATTAAAATATTTAAATTTAACTCTTATGGTTAAATATGTAAATGATTTTGAAATATTTTTGAAAAATTCTCAAAATACTTTTATTAATAGATTTTGTATTAAAAATTAATTGATAGAAAGTAAAGATATTTTACTTTAACAGCCAAATATTTAACTCGTCTCTCTTTCATAATATATTCTTTTATATAAAGATCTTTTCCTTAAAGCTAAAGATTTATTTAATTTGAAAGATAAATTTAAATTATATAATATTGAAATTCAAAATTATTATGTATTATCCCTTAGTTATTATAATTATTTTGTGAAAGAAATATATTCGTCAAGTCATTATTATAGGAATTTTTTAAAAATTGTACTTTATTAGAAATTTTAATTGTTACAGTTTAATGTAATTTTAAAGGAACTTAATAAAATATTATTGATATTGTTATCCAAATTATTATTATCAAGATTGAAAAATGAAGTAAAGACATAATATTAAAGATTTTATTTATTAATTGTCCGGAGCGAAGCGAAGGACAATATATGTCTACGCACTATGAAAAAAAAAACGATCATGTGAATTTCTCTGTACGCCACGTGATCGTCACCCAATGAAATCGAAAATTTTAGTTTTTCGCTCCGGACTTACAACGGTTCCCGTTTAGTGATTGAAAATTAACATATCATGTTAATTTTTTTCTTGCCCCATATAAAATTTTTATCCGTATATTTCCATTATTTCTCCGTGTCTTTCGTAAAAATTCCGTGAAAATGATACATTCACGGAAAAAACATGGAAAGATAAAACACGGATCAGATTTTTTACAGGGTTGTCATATAACAGCCTATAAAATTTAATTTTACTGCTACTGTAGCAAAAGATTAAAGTTCATAAGGTATAAGGAGTATATTCAAAACTTACAATTTGGTCATTAATTAGCTTATTATATAATAAATTATTAGATGAAAAATTCCAAATTATTATTATACAATGTAAGTATAGTAACATATTCGTGCCAATATCTCCTGATATTTCCCCTAATATTTCTCATGAGCAAGAATATATCCAATCAAATTCTCAAACTTCTAATGAGTCAGGAGAGCGTGAGCCCGAAGGGATGTCCAATGATCAGACACAAAGTTTCAAAATAAAAATTCCCTACAATCAGAAAGTGGAACAAGGTTTAAGACATGAGCTATCCATTTTTACCAAAGATGATAATATCGAAAAGCATAACTCATTTGATATTCCGATTCCCGAATTCTCTCTTGAGACGATTCTAACGGGATATAACAAAATTACGGCACAATTTATTTAACGTGGCAATAAAGGTCGGACAAAAGGAGAATCTATAGAAACAGTATAGAAACAATACCAATATAGATATATATTGCCATTGTTTCTATAAAGCATATGAGGATCTGGTTGAAGACTGCAAAGATATGAAAAATATTGATGATCAATCAGCGAGAACATTTGTGTATAACGCAATTAAATTGCTTTTTCCTAATATATCCAATGAAAACTTGCAAAAATTTACACGTTATTTACAGGAATAGGGATAGATGCGAATTACCTATAGCACTCATATTATTTCATGTCTAAAGGATTTTCAAATTCAGGGTATTATAAATAGTTTTTCCAAAAGACCTACTAATATAGATGAATGCCAAAAAGTGATCAGTATTACGAAAGTAACGCGCATGTGACTAAAAATTCTGATTCATCAGTATTAAGTGTTGCCTTACCTCAATCATTTGTCTCCAACTCTTCTGGCAAAAAATTACCCGACGTAGAGATGAGTACATCAGTCACATTTCAAGTAAGTGTACCATCCACATCTTCATATGGTCAAGCAAGATCATCTAACAAATCCTGACTTCCTATTTCTATTTTACCTGATAATCCAGAAGAAAAGCAAACCCATATAATTGGGTTAGTGCTAGAGAGATTTCCTTATCTATCTTTGAAATACAGTATAGGTTCTAGTGATAAATTTGTGTTTAATAGTTCAGTGCCTTGTCCCATATGTAATAAAGATCATGAAAGTGAAAATATAAAGAAAGGTATAGGCAGTCAATGGGGCTTAGTAAGTATTTTGGAGACCGAACTTATCGTCTTGAATGCTGAAAGGCTTTATATCAAATTGGTATCCTAACAGAATTTTGCGTATGTTTATTATACTGATATTTTGCACACGTGATAATATCGTTATCTAATCATTTCCGTATTTCCGTAATAGTTTTTAGAATTTTGCTTTATTAATTAAAGGATGATGTCAACAAATAATAATACTATAAATTAGCGTTAAATATTTATTTCCTTACCTTAGTTAAAGAATAAATATTTGTTGATATTTTATGAATTAAATAATACATAGCAATATCAATATCACGTGTACCATCTGACAAAGCTGCTTAATAAATACTAAATCTTGCAATTTTATTTAAATTTTTAATTTGAGAATATGGAATTCATTTCATTACTTTTTTTTGAATATATAGAAAGAAAGTACTAGTTTCGATATATACTTGTTGGCTGTTAATATTTAAATATCCAAATTAGTAATAAATGATATTTTTTTTATTACTTTTCTTATATTGAGATTAATTTGTAATTTTAAAAATAACATTTATTTCAAACCATTTTTGGCTATCAGATTTTATCCTTGCCGTACTTCAAATTAAATGAATCGTGGCTTCAATAAAATCAACATTTAAGTTTGTAAGCAAGATAGGGTATGAAGCATAAAAATAACATTATACCAGGAATTTCATTCATATGTATAAATATCAAAATCAAAATGATTTGAAGAGTAAATTAAAATCATTCTGGATGAAATTAATTAAAACAGAACATATCCATAATCATGCTGTTGAAATAAAAGATAATTTCATTATATTTTCAATGACGACATAATTCTTTTATTATATTTCCAATCAAGATATCGAAATAAAGTCTCTCAAAAAAGAACTAAGCGTTGATTTATTGATTTTCTAAAGTAATTTATAACTTAGAAACGAAAATTTAAATAAATTTATGTTTCGGCACATTTTTTCTTTCCCACCAATATAACGAACTCAATGACTAAAATAAATTAAAATATTCTCACCAGGTTAGTATTTCTATGTCAATACCAAATTATTATTAACTTTCAATTACCTTGAGTTTAATTGGTTAAAAAAGTGGATGAGCTAACTGGAGCTGAAAAAAAAACTAGTACGGTACAAAATTAAATATTACTTCCAATTTGCTTTACTCGCATATTTAATTATAGAAAAATATACATAGTTAATCATTTACTTCGGGAATCTAAATAAACAAAGCCCATGACATGACTAAACAAAATCTAAAAATAAATATGCCAGTTTCAGTATTAACCGCCGGTTATGGTATCTCAAAAATCGGATTATATGTAATTATGATCTCAAAAATTTGAAGCTTTAATAAGTTTTATTTTTAATTTGGTTATACATCATTTATTTATTTTATATACATAAAGTCATAATTGTACTCAAATTAAAGAAAATATCGATAAAATTATTAATTATTGTTCGGATTGTCAATGAAGTTATCTATTCTTCATGTGCAGATGTGATAAATATTTTGTCTTGCGAAAATTGTGGAATTAATCAATCAATCTACATAAATTTTTTTCGTGACAAATACAAATTAAATAAACTCAATAATACTTATTCATCATCGGAATTATTAATTTTAGTATATTTTCCTATTTTGTTAAAAAAAAATTATAAAATTGTTAAAGTGAAATACCACAGACGCTATTTATTTGTGAGTAAATAAAATGTTTACTTACTATTTTTTTGAGTTTCATTCGTTTCGTTCTTTAATTCTTCAAAATTACGCTTTCTTGAAGAATTTACAGGTACAATTAAGCTTTGAGTGGCGGAATTTGTGTTTTGTGTAGATAAACTAAAAATTGTACGATATTATTATTCATTTTATATTATTAGCAAGTTACATACATTTAAATATAAATTAATTACCTTTGAATATTATTTATATCAAATTCATATTCTTTTGTAATATACTCTAAAAATTAATAAAAAATATCTAAGTTAACTAATCATATAACAGATAAATTTAAAGAAGTAAATTCTATTATTATCACCTGACCGTCTAATTAACGTTTCAATTTTTTTCATTAATAGTAAATTATAATACACTATAACATACCTTGTTTCATATTAAATGAAACCATTGAATCTATAGTTGAAGCTTTAGAAATCAAACCACTTAATGCTCTACTTGTATAAATTGCTTTTGGATGAGACTTTTCACTAAATTCTGGTCCAAGTTTCTTTAATTGTATTAATTCCAATCTTTTATTTTCAGCTTGTTCAAATGTTTCATTCAACCTATATGATCTGTTCAATTCGTAAAAAGAAACCCAGATTTCATAAATAGTTGGTCTTTTTGAAGGATTAGAATCCCAACATTTTTTCATTAAATCGGCATAACATTTAGGAGTATCTTCTGTAATTTTAGGTCGTTCTCCATCAAGAATTTTAAAGATGAGATTATGATCATGTTCAACATTAGTAAAAGGTTTACAACCTGTTGTAAATTCCCACATAATCATGCCTAAACTATATATATCAGATTCTTTTGAAAATGCAGCACCTTTAAATATTTCTGGTGCGATATAAGGTATTACTCCATATATTTCATTATTAGATAATGTATTATTTGCAGGTTGTGATAATCCTAAGTCTCCAACTTTCCAATATTCAGATAATAACATATTTCCACTATGAATATCTCGATGTATAAAATTATTATCATGAATATTTTTAAGTCTAAAGTAAAACATTTAATTGTTAATAACTAACTGTATACAGAAAAACAAACTAATTCACTAAAAATATACAATAAATACCCAAATGATATTCCTTGTAAAATATACAACTTATCCCTCCATGTAATATTTATAAAGTTCTTTTGCAAATAATCATGCAAATTTCCACCTTTTGCATAATTCAATATTAACATATATTCTTTTGTTATAGGATCTTGTGTAATGCCATAACAGTCAATAACCCTATAACCTTTACATTGATAAAGTGATCTTAACTAAAGTATAAATAAATCAATTAATACAATAAGCATCAAAAAACACATTGCAAGTATATAAAATGTAAATATTACTTCATTTAGAAAATGTTTACTGATATTTTGTGAATCACGTAATTTTTTTACAGCAACATCAGATCCCTTCCAAGTCGCTTTATAAATAATACTGAATCCTCCTTCTGCTATTTTCTTTAAATTCATAATTTGAGAATATGGAATCCACTCTATTACCTCCATTGATAAATCAAGTTCACTATGAATAAAAAAATATATTTCAATTGGACAGTGCATTGTCCTGTTGTTCAGATATTTAGCAATAATTTGGAGATTCTTATTGTTAATTCTTGTAGAATCAAGAAATTTATCTATAATAAAATTTCCACTGCTAATATTTGTAATATTAATATTAATGAATGAAGTTCTTTTGCATTTCTTACATTGAGATTGATCTGCAATTCCAAAAATTATATTGGTTGTTAAACAATACCTACATCCAGTATAAATTGTAAAGCAACATGAACACCATTTTTGACAATAAGATTTTGACTCTTGGTGTATATATTTCAGTTCTTTATCACAAACTGCACATTGATTATGACTATCCCACCATGGTAAATATAGAATCGGAATGGACTTTTTAGTCAAAGTTGATTCTACCCATCCAGAAGAAATCTGATAACCTGATAACAGCTTCTTGTAATGACAACAAGATTCGTTAAGATTAAAGTGATTAAAGTGCCAATAATATTAATTTTCTGTGACTACTTGCGTGAACTGTGAAATCTCAGAGCAATATTCACACCATTCTTGAATGTTTGTTGTATAAAAATTATTTCTGGTTGCTTTATGTTTAAGACACTGAGAATTATTTGTATATATACGTACATTCAAGTATGTATTATTGCCTGTTATATATTGAATATACCAAAATAAACAATTTTTGCAATATTTTTGTTCAAACATGAGTGTCTCGGAATATTTAATTCCACAATAATTACATTGTTTTTCATTGTTATTAAAAGGAATAAATAAAACAGGTACAGGACTAGATTTTAATTTTGACGTAGGATCAAATGGATCATTATTTTTGTCCATAATGTTGTATTTCAAGAAAATAGTTTATATAAAAGTTAAATGTAAAAATTATAAAGCAATATATATGTATTTTTATGAAGATACAATAACAAAGTGAAATTCTACAGAACTTTTCTTTAAAGAATCAAAGATATTCTATATAGAAATTCTATAAAGTATTATTTTGTAACTGTACTACAATTTGAAATTTGTGATTTATAAAATTTGTTGACGATCAATTTAACCAGAAATTAAAAAAAATTTTTTTTTTTTTTTGACGATGAACTCAAAAAATTCATTTGATAATCAAGTAACGATAAAAACTTTTCTTAATAAACTAAAACGTGTTGTTTCATCAACTCTGATTATATAATAATCATTCCGACATTTGATTTCCTACTAAATTATTATTAAGTTCTTAAGTCATAAATAAAATAAAAAGTCTTAATGAACATCAGATATAATTTAATAAAAACAAATACATTTATTAACAATTTCTGTAAAAATTTTTTATGATATTAATGTATATTATCAACCGTCCTCAAATTTATACAAATTTTCATTTCCTTTTCAAGTTACGATATCGAGGCAACAAAACATTAACTACCAGATTCTCATTTAAATGAACAACAAAGAATTCATTTAAATTTATTTATTTTCTTTTATCAGCTATTATACTATTGTTAAATTTCAAGGATAATTAAAATTTGTGATTATTATATGAAATTATGTGAAATTTTGATATTGTTTATGCATTGAACAAAATTTTTTACAGTCATTCTTATTTAATTAAAATTAAAATAATAAGGAAAAGGAGTTAATAAGAAATTATAGTAATTGATCAAACAGCATAGATTTAAATAAAACCTGTGATGATAATAATACTGCGACAGAAATGAAAAAAGAAAAGGAATTTATTAAAAAGAAAAATTTATGAAACTTTGATAAATATTAAATTACCAAATATTTTACTCAAAATCCATAATTACAAGAAAAAACCAAATTATAAATTAAAAAAAAAAACATGTTTCATTTTGTCTTACAAACACTTATAGGACCCAGAAATATACTGTATATAAAAGGGTCAGGTTTGAGTTTGCGTATTTTGAACTAAAAAAATCATGAAAATCTTACCTTGTTTAGATAATTTTTGATAATTCCTATGGCAAGCCGCACTGGTCAAAAGTGTGCTGCATTTTGCGGCAGGTGCGCCTGTTTTTAGGCGCCTGATGCGCTAAGTGCGGCAGGTGCACCTGTTTTTAGGCGCCTGAGTGCGGCAGGTGCACATAGTTTTTAGGCGCCTGATGCGCAGGATGCGCCTGGTTTTAGGCGCCTGAGGCGCCTAAGTGCGGCAGTTGCTCCTGATTGCAGCAGATGCGCCTGTTTTTAGGCGCCTAATTGCGGCAGGTGCAGCAGATTGCGGCAGGTGCGCCTGTTTTTTGTTAATAGGTTTTTTTTGGAAATAAGCATCTTCTGAGCTTTTAGCATAGATCTACGTACATTGCCAAATTAATTTAATAATCTGATAAAAATAGTAAAGTTAAGCTTTTTTTGGTTCAAACTTGTTCCAATGGATCGGATGTTGTTTTATCCTTGAAATTATCACTTTTTTTTCAACCAACTAAATTTTATTAAATTAAATGTTCAAAATAATTATGAATATAAACATATAAAAAAATTTTTATCTTAATGGATTATCCATTGTATCATTTATTTTTGTTTTATTTTTATTTTTTTAAATTTTTTTTTGCTTATAATCTTGAATAATTTCATTGTCTTTCTTTTATAATTGGTATTTTTAGTTTTCTTTTTAAATATATTTGTATAGTGAAACAAGTAAAATTTATTTTTAAACTTCATATGCAATTTTACAATAAGAATTCTATTACCTTTTGATTACATAGTTAAATAAAAGATTTTGACTTTTTTAGAAATTCAGTCTCAACATTCCATCTTTTAATGTAAAATAAATACATGAACAAAAAAATTGAAAAAACTAACAACTAAATACAATAATCACAAAAAGGTCTTTCATGTTTGTTATTATTATTAATCATATTAATACAAGATTTTATAATTATTAAATTATTAGGAGTTTATAAATTACCCGGGTTCTAAGATAGGAATTTTTTTTATTTCTAGTAAAATATCCAGGTCTTATGAAATTGGATATGCAGTAATCCT